ACAAGACACACACACATACACACACACATACGTTCATACACTGCACCGGGTACCCGTTTAAGGCTGAGCCGACCTAGGGGAGAGGCACTCCTTGGAACTGGTTAAGATGCTCGCCACCGACGTTGGCTGTGAGCAGGAATCGAACTCGGGTTTGTGGCGTTACTACTGCTACTGCTGCTGCCTGCTGCAACTGCCTACTGGAGCTGCCTGCTGCTGCTGCCTGCTGCTGTTCGCTGCCTGCATGTTATCTGACTGCTGCTGCCTGCTGCTGCCTGCTGCTGCTGCTACTGCTGCTGCTGCTACTGCTGCTTCTGCTGCCTGCTGCCTGCTGCTGCCTGTTTACTGACTGCTGCTGCCTGCTGCTGCCTGTTTACTGACTGCTGCTGCCTGCTGCTGCTGCCTGCTGCCTGCCTGCTACTGCTGCTGCTGCTGCCTGCTGATGCCTGCTACTGCCTGCCTGCCTCCTGTCTGCCTGCTCCCTGCCAGCTGCTGCTTGCTGCCTGCTGCTGCCTGATGCTGCCTGATGATGCCTGCTTCCTGCTTGATTGGAGCCTGCTGCTGCCTGCTGTTGCCTGCTGCTGCCTGCTACTGCCTGATAATGCCTGCTTCCTGCTTGATTGGAGCCTGCTGCTGCCTGCTGTTGCCTGCTGCGCTGCCTGCTGTTGCCTGCTGCTGCCTGCTTCCTGCCTGCTGCTGCTCGCAAACAGCACTTGCCCCAACCAGCCTGCGGAGGCTACCCGGGGTGGGACCTTTTGTCTTTGCTCTTCAAGATCGTTGGGCCAGGACCCCATGGAGGGTGCGTGTCTGCAGCTAATCGCGTTGCTTTCTAGCCGCGACTTGCCCCGACAGTCTGGTGAAGGCTGTACGGGGGATCTTTGTATTTGCTTTAGCCACCCAGAGGAGCCGGGCGGCTAAAGCACAGCAAGTTGGTACAGTAGGGGGCACAGGTGGTGCATCAGCCAGTCATCTCGGTCATCTCATCAGTCAGTCGACCCGTGGCACCTGCTGGGTCTGCCCCGTGACCTCCTGCTAACGGGAGTTCGACACTTCACGTGGCCTCAACGTGCACCTAGCCTGGCACAACGCCGTGGTGCAGCGGTCAGCACCCAAAGTTCGATTCCCGCTCATGGTCACCACCACCACCACGGGTGGCGATTATCTGAACCGGGTCCTGGGCCTACCCTAGGTCGGCTCAGCCTCAAATCAGTGCCGGTGTATAGTAAACAACGTCGTTGCTGGGGAAACAAAGGCGGTCGGGCATGGTGCTGGCCTCCCACCCCCTCGTGTGACACAGTGCGGCCTTCATAGGCGCTGCTGCTGCTGCTGCTACTCCGCTAACAGCACTTGCCCCAACAGTCTGTTAGAGGCTACACGGGGGATCTTTGTCCTTGGTACGGGAGCGGTGGCGCAGCGGTTAGCGCACTGCAGTCCGAACCCGGAGTTCGATTCCCGCTCACGGTCACCACCACCACCACCACCGCCACCACCACCGCCACCACCACCGCCACCGCCACCACCACCGCCACCGCCACCACCACCACCACCGCCGCCGCCACCACCCCCACCGCCCACCCCGCCGCCACCCGCCGCCGCCACCGCCACCACCGCCACAACCACCGCCACCACCACCCCACCACCACCGCCACCACCACCGCCACCAGCACCGCCACCACCGCCGCCAGCACCACCACCACCACCGCCGCCACCACACCGCCACCCCGCCCACCTCCACCACCACCACCACCGCCGCCACCACCGCCACCACCATCGCCACCTCACCACCACCACCACCGCCACCCCCGCCACCTCCACCGCCACCGCCGCCACCCACCGCCACCACCATCGCCACCTCCACCGCCACCGCCGCCACCTCCACCACCACCGCCACCTCCACCACCACCGCCGCCACCACCACCGCCACCGCCGCCACCTCCACCACCACCACCCCGCCGCCACCACCGCCACCGCCGCCCCCTCCACTCCACCACCACCACCGCCACCACCGCCGCCACCACCACTACGGCGGCGGCGGGGGGGAGGAGGAGGGGGTGTTTGTGAGCTCCGTGCGTGCGCTGTGCACCGTGTGTGGTCTCATTACCCCGGCAGCAATAGCTCACGCGGGGCAAAAAAAACACCATAGCTCACACGGCACGCACAAACAACACACACAGATCCCCCGTACAGCCTTTAACTTCTGGGGGGGGGGGGGGGGGCGAGTGCTGCTAAGTAGAGAGTAGCGGCAGCGCCTACGAAGGCCGGCACTGTGGCACAACATCACACGGAGTCGACCTAGGGGAGGCCCAGGACCGGTTCAGATAATCGTCACCGCGGCGTCGGAGGCCCGCAAGCGGGAGTCGAGTTTTCGCAACGCTCCCCACGCACACACGCACACACATGCACGCACACATGCAAGCACACACGCACTCACACAAGCACGCACACACACAAACGCACGGACACACAAACGCAAGCACGCACACACACACAAACGCACGGACACACAACGCACACAGACACACGCACACACAACGCACGCACCACACAAACACACAAACCGCACAAACGCACGCACACGCACGCACACACACACGCACACACACAAAGATAAAGATCCCCCCGTATAGCCTTAACAGACTGTAGGGGCAAGTGCTGTTAGCGAGCACCTATGAAGGCCGGAACGGTACACAAGGGGGTGAGTGGCCAGCACCACGCCCGACCGCCTTTGTCTCCCCAGTTGCGATGTTTACACCACCGCACCAGGTACTCATTTAAGGCTGAGTCGACCTAGGGAGGCCCAGGACCGGTTCAGATAATCGTCACTGGTGTTAGCCGTGAGCGGGAATCGAACCCGGGTCGCCAGGTTCGTAGCGCAGCGCGCTAACCGCTACACTATCGCTCCCCACAACGCACCACACCACGCACACGCATGCACGCACACACGCACGCAACACACGCACACGCATGAATGCACATACGCACGCACACACATGCATGCACGCACACACGCACGCACACACGCACGCACACACACACACACGCACGCGGGGCGAGAGAGCATTTTTGAGCATCTCAGGCCTGGCCTTATATACGACGCGTTTACACAAACGCCAGGAATGCACATCACTCACATCACTCACATATTTTAGCCGCCGCTTTAGGGAAGAGGGGTGCGGGGTGGGGGTGGAAGAAAATCTACGAAACACAAAAAAACGTGGAAGAAAAACCGCGTGCAGCGCACGGACGCCGTGACGATGCCGCATCGCCGGCGTGTCCCGAACCGGCATCGCAGCCCCAAGGGGTGTTATCGTCGTCGAGTTTCATTTTAGTTTTGTATCGGCGATGAAAAAAAATAAACATCGTGTCATTGGTTATTCACGCGCGTACGCACGTACACACGTGCACATGCATGTATGTGTGTGCGTGTGTACGCGTCCGCGTGTACGCACATACACACGTACACATCCGTGTGTGTACGTGTGTCCGCGTGTACGTGTGTATGTGTGTACGTGTGTGTACGTGTGTGTACGTGTGTACGTGTGTGTACGTGTGTACGTGTCCACGTGTGTCTGCGTGTGTCTGCGTGTAAGTGTGTACGTGTGTGTGTGTACGTGTGTGTACGTGTGTACGTGTGTGTGTGTCCGCATGTCCGCGTGTGTCCGCGTGTGTCTGCGTGTAAGGTGTGTACGTGTATGTGTAAGTGTGTATGTGTTGTGTGTGTGTAAGTGTGTACGTGTGTACGTGTGTAAGTGTGTACGTGTGGTAAGTGTGTGTGTGTGTAGTGTGTGTGTGTAAATGTGTGTGTGTAAGTGTGTGTGTGTAAGTGTGTACGTGTGTGTATGTGTGTGTAAGTGTGTTGTGTGTAGTGTGTACGTGTGTAAGTATGTACGTGTGTAAGTGTGTACGTGTGTAAGTGTGTGTGTGTACGTGTGTAAGTGTGTACCTGTGTAAGTGTGTGTGTGTGTACGTGTGTAAGTGTGTAAGTGTGTACGTGTGTAAGTGTGTGTGTGTACGTGTGTAAAGTGTGTACCTGTGTAAGTGTGTGTGTGTACGTGCGTAAGTGGTGTGTGTGTACGTGTGTAAGTGTGTAAGTGTGTACGTGTGTAAGTGTGTGTGTGTGTGTACGTGTGTAAGTGTGTACCTGTGTAAGTGTGTCTGCGTGTACGGATGCCTGAACTCCTTTGGCACCATCGTACGAAGCCAACCGTGCTAATCGGAGGTGCGGAGGGGGGGGGGGAGCACAACAAACTAAACACGTCAACAACAACAACAACAAGCCTTTCTAAAGAAATGGGTCTCTGTGTGAGTCTATGTGTCTCTGTGTGAGTATATGTGTCTCTGTGTGAGTCTATGGGTCTCTGTGTGAGTCTATGGGTCTCTGTGTGAGTCTATGGGTCTCTGTGTGAGTCTATGGGTCTCTGTGTGAGTCGATGGGTCTCTGTGTGAGTCTATGGGTCTCTGTGTGAGTCTATGTGTCTCTGTGTGAGTCTATGGGTCTCTCTGTGAGTCTACGGGTCTCTGTGTGAGTCTACGGGTCTCTGTGTGAGTCTACGGGTCTCTGTGTGAGTCTATGGGTCTCTGTGTGAGTCTATGGGTCTCTGTGTGAGTCTATGTGTCTCTGTGTGAGTCTATGGGTCTCTGTGTGAGTCTATGGGTCTCTGTGGTGAGTCTATGGGTCTCTGTGTGAGTCTATGGGTCTCTGTGTGAGTCTATGGGTCTCTGTGTGAGTCTATGGGTCTCTGTGTGAGTATATGTGTCCTCTGTGTGAGTCTATGTGTCTCTGTGTGAGTCTATGGGTCTCTGTGTGAGTCTATGGGTCTCTGTGTGAGTATATGTGTCTCTGTGTGAGTCTATGTGTCTCTGTGTGAGTCTATGGGTCTCTGTGTGAGTCTATGGGTCTCTGTGTGAGTCTATGGGTCTCTGTGTGAGTCTATGGGTCTCTGTGTGAGTCTATAGGTCTCTGTGTGAGTATATGGGTCTCTGTGTGAGTCTATGGGTCTCTGTGTGAGTCTATGTGTCTCTGTGTGAGTCTATGTGTCTCTGTGTGAGTCTATGGGTCTCTGTGTGAGTCTATGTGTCTCTGTGTGAGTCTATGGGTCTCTGTGTGAGTCTATAGGGTCTCTGTGTGAGTCTATGTGTCTCTGTGTGTGAGTCTATGGGTCTCTGTGTGAGTCTATGGGTCTCTGTGTGAGTCTATGTGTCTCTGTGTGAGTCTATGTGTCTCTGTGTGAGTCTATGGGTCTCTGTGTGAGTCTATGTGTCTCTGTGTGAGTCTATGTGTCTCTGTGTGAGTCTACGTGGCTCTGTGTGAGTCTATGTGTCTCTGTGTGAGTCTATGGGTCTCTGTGTGAGTCTATGGGTCTCTGTGTGAGTCTATGGGTCTCTGTGTGAGTCTACGGGTCTCTGTGTGAGTCTATGGGTCCTCTGTGTGAGTCTATGGGTCCTCTGTGTGAGTCTATGTGTCTCTGTGTGAGTCTATGGGTCTCTGTGTGAGTATATGGGTCTCTGTGTCAGTCTATGGGTCTCTGTGTGAGTCCTATGGGTCTCTGTGTGAGTCTATGTGTCTCTGTGTGAGTCTATGGGTCTCTGTGTGAGTCTATGGGTCCTGTGTGAGTCTATGGGTCTCTGTGTGAGTCTATGGGTCTCTGTGTGAGTCTATGTGTCTCTGTGTGAGTCTATGGGGTCTCTGTGTGAGTTCTCACGGGTCTCTGTGTGAGTCTATGGGTCTCTGTGTGAGTCTATGGGTCTCTGTGTGAGTCTATGTGTCTCTGTGTGAGTCTATGGGTCTCTGTGTGAGTCTATGGGTCTCTGTGTGAG